TGCTTGGTCGCAAGATGAGTACGCTGTACAAGTATTAAGAAAAGAGCCAGTTGAGCATCCTGAACATAACAGCAATCTTCATCCTGACGAAACCTCGTGTGAAATCAGGTATGCTGTAGAAACAGTGGTGAGGATAGTCGGTAACCTATACCCGTTGCTGGACGTCATCCAAACTGACTGATGAGAGAAGATTGATTACAGCGAGCTCTGACCACTATGAAGAGCGGAAGCAACTTCAACATAAATTAGCCTAGAGTCTTCGCAATGATCGCGAGCAGTGGTGGGTGAAGAGGGAGACAGAGATGGAGAAAGTATCAGTATCAGGTAATACTCAGAGCAATCATTCAGGGTTTATTCACAATACTGACAAGAGGAAGACGATGGTGAGCGAAACTGCCACCAAAAAGCGCGGAACCCCGACAGTTTCCCAGGAAAGACGGCTAAAACGTTGGGCAGAATACTTTGACGTGCAGCTCAGTCCATAGCAATGCTTGAGTCACCTAATAACACAACTCAACCTAAGCGGGACGTAGAATCTGAAACGATAAAAAGCAGTAGGATCTGACAGTTTACGACCTGAAGTTTCCAAGGACGTAGGTAAGAAATTACTGGTTTCCACGGAGGTACTAAGCAGTGTATGGGAATCAGAAGTAATGCCATCAAACTGGTCTACTTCCCTGATCAGCCCAGTCTCTAAGATGGGACGAAAATCTTCCCGTGACAACCACAGGGGAACTAGTTTGACATTGTCCAAGATCCTGGGGTCCATAGTTATCCGAAGTCTAAACTGAGCTCGAGAAAACCAAGCAGATTTCACATAAACCAGGACGACAGTGTACACACCATACTTTCACCCTCCAACAGGTTCCGCAACACATGTACACTCACTGGCAGTCGATAATTGCAATACTTCCTGACATGGAAGGCACCATTTGACTACGTCGACTGTAAAATGTTGTGACAGTGCCTGACTCTGAAGGGAGTACAGACCAAGTACACAATGCTAGTTGAAGCTCTTTTCTCGAACTCATGCAAGGGCTCATGGAGAGTTGACACATGAATTGACAACTAGTGGTGTCCGCCACGGACGTTTACTTCACTGTTCTAACTTCGTCATGGGTGTAACTAATGAAATAACTTTAGGGACGTCTGATCTCATAGGGATTATTCTACTATTTGAAGGTCACCTGGTAGACAAGCGATATTATTGCACGGTTTTCTGAACGCGTTGAACAGGAACCTGAGTATGTTTGGCATGCATCTCTCACCTGGTTGTAGTCCTCGAGACAAAAGGAATTCATGGATTGGACTCTTGGCGATATGGCTGGAAATCGATCACAGTGGCGCAGATGCCGGTAACTTAGAGAAAAGACACTCCACGGATCTCGTAAGTGATATTGTTGATTTAGCCCAACACAGAAACATGAATTACTTCCATCAAATCAACCATGGAATTTCGAACAAGACCTGTATTTGCATATGATCCATTGGTACGCTTAACGATAATTATTTACAAATAAACGCCACCGAGAGGTATTCGAAGTACATAGTTACATTGAACTAAACTGTGACAATTAATATCCCACAAATCTAGTGCTACCTTCATACTTGAAAGCAACAATAACTAACAGGTTTTTCTTTCGTCATTAAAAAGCACTGGTGCAATCGACTTGACGATGAGATTCAAAGAAAATCCTCATACTATTAAATGTAAAATTGTTAGAGATTATGTGAAACATAGAGAGACTAACACCCTATTTGCTACCTATCAGAACCCGTTAATACTCCTGTTTACTTTGTTCAGCTTAGGAAGGAAACAACCTCATGGTCTCGTACCACACAAAACGCTTTATATCACTACATTCAACCTTCGCTTCACAATGATAGGTAAACCTTTTGAAAAAGTGCAAATAATACGGCTTAAAATCAAATACTTGAAACCAACGTGTTTTTCCTGAATAAAGAATGCACATGAGTACCTGCTAAAAATAATCACAAACCATCAGTTGTCTTAGACTTCAGTCCATCTTACAACTGGCAGCCTGCTTGAAACTTAAGCTACCGAATATATACGTCAAATGCTTTGCTTTCAATTCGTTTTAATTACTTAACTATGTCTTCTAAGCGTGCCATGTACTCTTGCAGTTTACATAGCTAGCTGTTTCTCGAGTAGATAACAAAAGAAAGAAAAAATGTCGATTTTGGTAGAAATGGACTTTCGTTGCGCAAAAATTCATCGTACTTACACTACTCAGACGCTTAGCTCGAACAGCAGATTGTTGTATTGCCTGAATGAACCATCAACATCAAACTTACATTCGGTTTTCTGTACATCCTTCTTTTAAGACGGAAAGCTAATCGAATACCACCTAACTGTTCAATATTATTGCCTTTAATAGTGCTATTATTAACATCACTCCAACGCGGTAATCGTTTCGTTTAAATACATTGTCCTGGTAGTGAACTCGGTGAGAATTCCATACTGTTGTATTAATGCGACCACTATCATTATTACTATTATTATTATAAAATTTATAAAACCAAACCTTAGCATATGTTTCTCAGCAGTTCAAAACAAGTGTGAAACTCTACTGCCAGTCATTAGAGCAAAAATCTGCCAACTAGTTTCCTTCAACTCCCAATCCCGTAGATGTACCAAGTTTTCGGAAGCATCGTCTTGAATATCTTTACAAAACCCTCTCTTCACATATACTTCTGTCTGATTGAATATCACTTTTCCCATCTTATACGTTTCACCATAATGATGTGAAGCGTCTTAACTTCAACCGCAGCACCACTGCGTGAGGTTCAACGACTGTCTGGCTGTCTTTATCTGGGAAATATCGAGAAGTATGAAAGATCTAAGATGTACATTGATTGGTTACCGGAGTGCACCCAATTTCATGCCCTCCAGTCTCAAGTGCTCATCGAATCCTATCATTTTTGCAATGTGGTCAGCAGGAAAGAAGACTCAGCATCGGAGCGCACTTTGAGTGATATTAGATAGCTAGAAGGCTTCCTTTTGATAACCTACAACCTGAGGTTTCAGATGTGCTATACAACCTACATCAGTTGACAACCAAAGGAAAACAGCACGTATGCTGAATAATGAGGGATCCAACGTATCTCGCAAAATGCCATATTGTTTGTTAATGATATCTTGATCTATTTCTATGGCATTTTTTAAGCCAACGAACAGAAGATTAATGGTTCTGTACGTGTAATGCATATACAAGTCACCTACGTCACTGCAGATTCACAGCCGCCAATGATACAGAAAACGTAAGTATGGAGTCCTTTTAAAAGACGCCAAGTTTCTCAAAAACAATTTTTATTTCGCATTGGAACACTATATTGATTAACTCAGAGAAATGTTGTGCATTTAGAGATACTGCATAGACGAAGTTTAGAAATATATTTATGAGAAAAAGTTGGTAATTACTGAATAACAAACGAAATATTTACTACAATAACTGATTTGGAACACCCGTAAACAACGCATGTGTAGGACAGTTGAAAATTCACAAAAATGGTAACAGTTGGTTCCTGCTGCTGCTACAACACACCCTTACAAACAATTCCTAAAGCACTTATTTCATCGTATGCTGAAATACATGCAACTCTAAGAAGAATAACCTGGCACTAGATATATTTGTCAGAAAGTAAGATCCCCAGAGCGATTCAGTGTCAGAAGGTTCAGAAATAATCAAGTATGTGACGACCTTCAGTGAAGAAACATACATTTTTAAAAATACCACTTTGAAAAAAAATACAATAATGAGTTTTGCGTACACTTACTTTGATAGAAACCATTACACGTCCTGTGGTGTGCCAAAAACCGAACTGATAAGTCGCTAGTCTCGTGAAATAATTCAGTTGGCAGAAATTATAAAACACTGAGCATTTTCGCATCTGTGGTTGTATTGTCGTGCAGTGCAGTTAGCGCGACTGAATACTACCTACCTTCTTCAGAAGTAGCTGCGACAATAAAACTTCAATTTACTCGCCTTAAGAGAAACGGTATATAGTTAAGACAAAAATAGTAGCAGGCACAAGTGGACATTCTTAAGTGTTTATCTTTCGTATAGCAAAAAAAAAATCGTCTCCAGAAATATATAACTATATACCCTCTATGAATGGATCAGTAATCACACTACAGGATGTTTCAACTAAAAAAAAGTGAAGCTGTTTCTACACACAACAATTTCTGTCAATGATCCATTGAGTGCCATATATCATGTCTGTTGACGACGACTAAAACATGTAATGTACTCTAAGGACTGGATAATGTTCAAACAGTCCATCATAGAAATGAACCTATCTGTGAAGGGTATCAACAAATGATCGACAATACAATAAACAAAAATAAATTTCAAGTAACGACCTGATAATGCCTTTCCGGAATACCATTATTATTAACAACCAGCACTGATAATTGTTGCCTAAGCATAGAAGAAAGCTGGGAATGAATTGATCTGTTCTACATTTGTTTACCGAATACACACATGTGTTTCCCGACTCCAGTTACTTCTGCGACCTGATGATAAGACAGCAGGGGGTAAATGGTTCATTCAAATGGAAAAAAAAGCAAACAACAGAGAAAAATAACAAAAGTATCATTATGGATAACATATGGGTGATTTATGCAGTATACCAATCGAACAGTAAGTCACATACAACAGTACGTGTTTACATTTACATACACATAGAAGTTGAATATGCTTTAAATTCAAATTATTTTATTTTTGTAGTACAGTACAAATTCAGTATACAGAAGGACTTTAAGGCCAAGTGAACCGCAGATATTAAAAAATATGACAAGTAGGTAAGAAACTATTAGGAGGACAAAAAAAACAGTATTTGTTCACAGTATAAATGCTGAACAGCAGAAATGCGCTCAATTAAATTAGTACAAGTTAATCCAGAAAAACATCGGAATACCAGGTTTGAAAATTAAGGAACCGTTAAAACTAATCGTAAAGCTGCAAATGAGTAAAATACTAAAAATCTATACCCGGTATCAGTGTTTTCGGTAAGTCATCTAAGATTTCGATAGCATTCGATGGTTGATTAAGTTCTGCTGTAAGGATGACACAATCCTCAGTACCAACGTTGAAATTTTCATCATTTGACTCAGTTTTTATGCGTGATTTATGCCTAGTCACAAATTCACGAGCTAGACGAGTTACTGGTTCATCAATGTATGGATCAGGTGGTGTAAAATACGGCAGAATATCGTTGGTTGTACGATCAAATGAAACAGGATCATTATTCTGTGTACCTGAACAATCAGTAGGACAAAGTGGTTCAGTTTGGGCCATCCGTTTCAGAGCTTCCGTTGTAAGGTTACCTCGATCAAGCAGACAAAAGCAACCGTACTGTTGATTCTCATATAGTGACTTTTTTAATCGAGGAAGTGGGACACGTTTGCAAACAATAAGATAAACTGATTCATTCAAATCACGTGTTTCTACACGACTGAGTAAACCCCAACGTCTGGCATGTTTTTGTACAATTGGCCAAAGACTTATTGGAACAATATGCGGGAGAATGCAAACTGGAGATACCAACGCTGAAGCAGCATACGCTTGGAGATAGCGTTCAATCACAATCGATGAAGTGAATCGACCAATACAATCCGCTGTATCGTGCCTACTTCCACTATCTGGTTCTGGAAAGAAAATTTTTTAAAAACATGCAGCATGAATACTACTCAGGTTCGAAAATGTATTTAAAATGTGCTTTGTGATCATCTTATTAACAACGATCATAACAATGCATCTAAGTGAAACTAAGCTGGGAGGCTGTGCGACATATCCTAATGATCTGAAAATATATGGAAAACATTATTTTGTACCAAAAAGTAAGGAAAAAACATCAATATGAATGAATCTTACGTTTGATCTGTAATCTCATCTCTGTACAAACACTACTGTGCTGTCTGCTGTGAATCTTCTCATGCATTCGGTTGTGATATTGACAGTGTGTGCAAGCAAACACCATAATATTTACGGAGTGGTATTTAAAAAAGTACTGGAGTTTGGTATTTGTTTACAACTAACGTTTCAGGCTACAATCCAAAGGCTCAGTTGAGGCTTTTAGATTTAAGTTATTCACAGAAGCGGCGAAAAAAGCTTCCTATCTACTAAAGATGCACCAAGCAACAGTTGTTGAAAATAGCATGAAAAGGATATTGAACCCGAGAAACAATTTGTTGCTCAGCAACTTCGACACTTGATCATTAATTATTACAGACAAGTTCAAACTTATAGTGCCTAGTCATCGTATGCAAATCAGGTTGTATCGCACGACATCACATCAAGTGTGACCAGCATACTGATCTGCGCCATGTCCCTGAATGTGAATGCTTTACTCGAATATACAAATACAAGTGGGTACACACACGAGAATTTGAGTTACTTAGTAGAGACTAATACGACCAATCGCAGAGAAATTGTAAGGAATCCTAAGCAGAAGGCTTTGTAATAACAGATAACTACATGAGAATTCCGGTTACCGGTCTTCAGGTAATTTTTATCACGATGAAAAAAGTTCGTTGGGTAAGCTAGTAACGTATTAGGAAACCAAAAGAAAAAGATCTCCGTGAATAGCAGAGAATCCGTAGTTTGTGTTTGATTTCATGAAGGCAATGATAAGAGAATTACCAGCAATAGGCCGGGCAAGCTAAAGGGATCAAGCTTTGCTTCGGGAAGTTTTCAAGGATTACGATTGAGAACAAGTTAAACTGTCATTCGCGAAATTCTGGACACCTTATAAACGCTGAACAATCTATTTCCTACCTTATGTACGCCTTTGTCTACTTTGACACCATTTAAATTACTCATCACCTCTTCTTAGTACGAAGACCTGAACTATTATTGTGCGAAACCTCCATTTCGGACAAGTGAATACATATAATTGAACAGTTTAAAGACACGGGAAACTAACAGATATGCAGAGGTTCAAATATAACGTATGTGAGCTATTAGTCACTGATATTTCGCAAAAATGACTGGAACACTCACCCTCATCGTTGTAAGAAGGTGATGACAAAGATGAAATATCACAGTGAGCTTCTAGTTGCTCGAAATGTACCGGTGAATCAAGTTCTTCTTTTCCCCACATAAGATTTTCGACCATAAGGTGTTCCGGAATGCCCCAAAGAGGTAAAACAGCATCCTCGAACTTATCTATCGAATAAGAAAGAAAGAGAATCTCATAATGTAGAAGAGAATTCTGTAACATCATGTAAAAAAAAACAACTTTAAAGTATGAGCAAAATTACGTAAGTTTTAATATAATCCCAGCGTGTTTAGAAAATCAAAACAAGGTTTATGAGCAAAATGTCTGCTAAAACTGAAGTTGTTGTACAATCACAAGTCAACATACTAATAATTTTCAAGGATCTCTAACAGTTGATAACTTTCTCTATACACGAGAAATTATCATGAATATGATAACTTTGACTTTTCTCAATAATCACCACAAAATAAACGTTGATAACATTAGTTAACTACAATAAATGGATAGATAATTCTTTAATGGTAATGAAAATAACACTCATGAATTTTAGGCATGATCTAAAAACATTGGACGGTGTTTATATGCATAGTGTGCGACTGTTCAATACGCTCCAACTGTTGATATATAAGTTTAAAACAGGAAAGTAACAATAATTTTAAAAATGGTCCAGCATTTGCTTAACCAGTCACTTGTTCCCAGCATTTTCTGTATATGAAGAACATTTCTCTAACTAGGAGAGATGGTCATTTCTATGATATTCACGTTACGATGAAGATACAATCGTTTACAGTATAATAATTAATTTAGGGTAAATGAGCGCAAAAACCTTTCAATTGCTGTATGCAACATTTGAAATGGAAGAGAGGAGCTATGTACATAAATCTGAACATCTACGAAGTGAACATTCCGTTTCTTTTAGAAACTATAGCCAAGCAATCTATGTTCAACTATACCGATAATTCGTAAATTATGATTTTTGAGACATATCAACTGATACTCTCCATGTCTGCACTCATCAAAAAAGTATAACGTGGTATATCGTACTTGTGCACTGAATGTCAAAGTTTATGCATGCCTGAAGCCTCAGTAATGAATTTATTGTCTACTTCTAAAGCCCTAAACTACTGAACTTTAACACTATCCATTTGGTAGATTCGGTAGATGGTGGTGGTATGCCACATATTCGACTTCCGAAAACAGTAAACTGCTCCTCTGGACCTCAGATGGAATAAGCCGGTAAGTGCTGAATAAGGTTGTTGCATTCATGTGACACTTACACTATCTCCAGGACCAGTGTGGCTACCTAGACAAGTGAAGTAATGAATGCATCACACTAACAAACTCATCACCTTCAAAGTGAGTCGGCGCATACAAGACACGTGACATTTCCTAATACACGCAGATCAAGTCATCCTAAGGATGATTGAGATGGTAGAAAACACCTATGCCTCCATAGACCAACTTTGTTCTCTAAGCTGAGATTCGACTGGTAATTGTTACGAAATGTTATCTCACGTCATCAGCTGAACATAAAAAAAAGGCCAATAACCTTCGAGTCTCACTATACATTATGATTTTTCTCAGAACAATTAGTTATCAGTACGTGTTTTAACAAGTCTTTCGAATGGAGTCACCTCTGGCGACCATTAACACCAGACTTAAATTCAGTGTTTGCAAGGTTATATTTGGCAGTGTTTAGCAGTTGGTTCCAAGAAACACAATAGATTCCGCAATCTACTGTGTAAGCATTAATAATAAGTTTCCAGCCCAGTATTCATAGACTCAAACACAGGAGCTACCAACAAAACTCCTGAATCTTGACAACTGGCTTGAATTTTTCGTTTATTGAACTAATAAATCAACCATACCTAGAACATTTAAACCAATGAGCGGAAAACTGGAGTAGCAAATATTTTTAAAGTTGTCTTCAGGAGGATAAAGCAAACAAGTGGCACTTCTGCGTAAAGCTGTACATAACAGTGCACATTAGAGTACAATATCTATATTCAAGTAACAGATGCACTTCCAAGTACTCTATCCGCGTGACAGTGGTACCATACACCTCATAAGCAGTAAAATACCACTTTCACATAGAAAAATATCACGTCAGTGGATGTCTAGTGTACTTGTCTCAAGGCCTGAGTACACTACGGGCTTTCAGTACATACTTTACACAATGTGGTGATTGCACAATCAGGGATGAGGAAATAAGTTTAGTAAATTAGTGAACTGTGGATGTACAGGGAGGGGGGGATCGAAAGCAATCCACGAAATTGCTTCATTGAACGGTAGACTGAAAATAGTCTTGGAGTGAAAAGACTAGAATGGACTAGTTTGGTTGAAATACATCCTCAGCACCGATTATGGTATCAGAAACGCCTCTTTCAAAATTGTATTCATATAAGAACTATAAAGATCAAAAACAAGACACGAGTATAAGACAAAACAATAGGTCATAGCCATATCCAAACAAAAAAAATTCTATTCAAAACATTTTATAACTTTATTTTTTGTGTGGAATAAGTAACAAACATATAATGACTTTAAAATTACCATCCAATGGTAATGTGTGGTTTCCCTCGCTGATCAGTTAGTGTCGAAGGATTAAGTCTAATAATTCATGCATCGCACCTGTTGAGAAAATGGACAAGAAATCATTGACAACCTGAGTGCCAGAATTCATCCGGTACATATACTTTTTAGTTCTGCAAGAAATGAGTCTACAACATTTGGACTGAAATAATGTTGAAGAGACTGTAACTCAGACTAGCGATTAATCTGATCCTGTGTATGTCAATTATGAACTAACCAACTGAATAGTATTACAGAATTTGAGAGAAAACGATAGGTTCGAACCACTTATGAATGGTAGGTTTAGTTGAAATCTTATGACACATATTTGGTGTACAAATGCAAAAATCCTGTTTTCAGACAGTTTCCTCAGTAGCATTACAGTAATAAAACACTTCTGAGTGCCTGATAACAGTTTTCTGAAACCTTTACATAGTCTACTATAAAGACGAATGAACTTTAGTTCGATATACATCTATGACAAATTTAGAACAATAATGTTGGTAAACTAACCTCGCCTAGTTTACTAGCCGGTACCAAGCCCGGAGAAAGAGAGAAGGTTGGAGGTTAAGCCAGAGACTCTACCCTAGGAAATCAATCCAGTTGCCAAAGAAACTTCAAAGCACAGAGACAGGAGGCATAGATGAGGATGTCAAAGTCAGGATCGGAAAGACAACAAAACAGGCCTTCATTAATGTGGAAACTGTGTTGAGGTCTACTGCACTCAACTCAGCGTAAATAACAAGATCTGGATTTTCAATACTAATGTGAGTCAAGTAAGTGGTTCTATGTGATAGTTGAGAGACACACATGAACAGCTATCACCTACGCTCACTCGATACTGAAGATCAGATGGCCAGAAAGAATAAGTAACAAGGAACTTTGGCTGGCAACGAAACAACCAAGAACCTATTGCCCAATAAATATCTAGAAGAAAACGGAGACGGATTGGATTGGACATACACTGAGAAGACCATTCGGGGACAGGACACGCCAGGTCAGGTCAGGCCCTCAAAACTGAACCCAAAGGGGAAACAGCGAGTTAGGCGTCTGAGGGTGACATGGAGGAAATCGGTGTGAGGAAGAAATAAAAGCTTCTGGGAAGGCAGTCGTGGAGCCAGGTCAAAACGACTACAGAGAAGAATGAAATGGAGACGTGCCCTATGTTCCACTAGGAATCCAAGGGACAAATAATAAAATAATAATGACAATGTTAGTAAACTAAGTACTCAATTAAAATTCAATGTTAAGCATGAACAAGAGAGTAAAAACCACAACACACAGGAATCATTATCAAAAAATGCAGATTGGAACAAGGCGCAATTTATACTGAAGGTATATATTCAGATAATTATGAAACAGTACAATGAAAAGTTTAGAAACAGTACAATTAGTAATAATACAGTCAATCAAGGAAAAAAATACAGCTGATGACTGGCCTATGCTAACTTTACCTTCCCGTGTAAATGACAAACCGATAACAGGTTGAGTAGTGCACAATTTATCCAACAGACTACGCATTGCCAATCGTTGAGCACCATACAAATTTTCGCTTTCAACGGATAGACAGCGTTGATTATCAATTAGTGTGTTGCACACAATTTGACCAGTGATTGTTTGTACTTCAAATTCAAAATTGATTACCATTTGGCTGAATTCAGCTGACTGTGCCAAAATTTGTACTGTATGCAACTTGATAAGAAAGAATAAAGTATGATCATCAGTATGAATATTGCATTGTACATCAAGTTAATTGATGTAAATTAAGCACAAATGACACTGTACATGGCAACCTAATAAACTCGGCTCATTAACCTGTAATCCAAGGTCTACTACTCAAATCGACTCAAAATCTATTCAGCAACTTCGTGCACATCCGTGCAGTAGACAGTAATGAGTCACATCTATTGTGTGAGGGCTAATGTACAGTATACAGTGTAGGAAATCATGACTGGAAAACTGATTTAGGCATCGAAAACACAGAATCAAAGAAAAAGAATCCAAAGTTACACTAACATAAGTTCTTAAAAAGCTAGCTTTCCCATTCAGAAAAAACTGAGTTTGATACTACGGTATACTTTCCAACGGCACACAAATACAATCAGAGGACATGGAAGGCTAAGAGAACAAGTCTGGTTACTTACATTCAGTGAATACCAGTTAAAGTTAATAATACGCGACGTCATGAAGTTAATAAGAGAAAAGTAACTCGATCGATGTACAGACTGGAAATATAATATGTGTATTTCATAAACCTGCCACTCTAAGTCTCATTCATCTTTTTTATTCACCAAGTAGGTCATAGGTTCGAACCCCGCTCCACCTACCAAGGTTTGGACAGCCAGGTAGTATCACTAGCCACAATAGGTGTGGCTCACTGTCTTCCACACACATGTGAACACAGTGGTTGAGTGTATTTTTTTCGTGTCTTTCTCCTTTTGTTATACAATCCAAATCATTATGTACTTTTACACCAGGTTCTTCGTTATCAATTTCTATCTGAAAGCTTTGCGTACCAGATTATGAGAATCACCTGTCGTTACTAATCGGTATCAACATGATGCCTGGTACTATGTTGTATGACCATTCAAGTTGACACACTTTGCATCCAGATACAAAGCAACAAGACAAAGAAGAAATGATGCAGTCAAAAGTGGTGATTTGGTGCTTTAGAATGCAACTAAACAGTAGTCAAAGCAAATAAAAATGTGAAACCAAAATGAAGATTGAGTGGATGAATCTTCGCTAAGGTGATAGAATCTAAGCAGCAAATGAAATCTGTAGTCACCAGTTTTAATTGTTATGTGGTCAAAAATATTTGCAAGCCTATATCTCACTACACGGTTTAGACCAAAAAAGAAGTCAGAACACTTCAATGAGCTGATGTCACATTTTTGTCTAGTAACACCGTGTTCTTTTTCAAAGTAACTCTACTTCAGTTTGTGTAGCTGGTTGAGACAGACAGTAATATATGTCTTAATTGCCTCAGTCGACACAGGTTTACGACCCTTTACCTCTCCGTCTAGCTTCTATATTACTGATCTATGGACTCAATAACATATGGTCAATGCTATATATGAATAATCTCGATGAAGCGGAGTTTGTTTTCGTTATTTGCTGATTGACACTTGAGTATCTACATCAATAAGCCTCAGTCTTATTTCATTGTGAGCGGTTAAGAATAAAACACAGTCAGATGGAAAAGTAACTCGTTACAAATGGTAATTCACCGCAAAATTAAAAAATAGGTATCAGTAGATACGAAAGAAGACGGGGCCCAAACTGTCTGAAGAAAAAACCTAAAATATTGTATTTACTTTACTTGAAAAAGCGGTACAAACCTCGATATCCTTAGGAAAAGGTTAAGCATAATGTGTGAACTGAAATCTCAAGAGAAAATCTTCGATGAAACAAGAGAGAAATACTTCAGTCACTACACAGAGAGGTAAAAAACAAGTGGGATATATTTTATTTAAGAGTGAGTAAACTTGAATGATCAAAACTCTAAAACACAAACCTAGAAAGACATAATGTGCACATATTCTACGTTATTCTGAGCCAGGTGGGGAAGGTAGACCTTCAAGTTGAGGTCCATGTGACAACTGAAATCGGAGGATGGAGATACTAAGCGATATAACTCAGAATCAATCTTACTAGCGCAAATCCATTGATACACTATCTTTACCCTGACCCTCACATATCGGATAGCATTACTGATCTATTCCTTCTTGTTCCTTTTATAACATTTTTGATTCCTCTCTTTCTTATTTCTTCGACTCTCAACATGACGTCTACTACCTTGAAGTGCCTATATGAATTGTGACAACTTGGACTGTCATGCAGTAGCTTTACGACATAGAGTAGTGCTAGCTGATTTCATGTAACCTATAGAACTAACGGTTTGTGTACAGTATGGAAATCCTCAGGTATCTGCTGAATTCTCAACACCTCAGCTCTTAATCATAAGATACGACTGCCAGTGATTCTTTGCAAAATATGACACCTACCAAGTGGGAGGAATGGCGTGTGAAAACGAATAGACTCGTACATAGACCCCCCCCCATCACTAATATATGTCATTGGTGAACACAAATAGTTCGCTCTGGACTGTATAGTTAATCACGACACGCCCTTGCACAATAGACTGTGTATTCAAATTCTGTGAAAGGCAGTAAGATGAAAAGTCTGTTGTTGCAAAAACACGGATATGCGCAAAAAATATGTTTAAATCGACGCCGCGAAGTATTTGCCATAAAAGTGAAAAAATACTAGCAGTAAACATTTACAACTTATGCCTTTGATCAACTCAATTATATTGTCCTCACTATAACTGGAACTTAGGTTGGAATGACAATGGAAATGCAATACCTGGTCATTTAATGCTTCCCTCGGAAGTCGGGCTAGGTAAATCCACATGTCTTCAAATGGTTTGGGGTTGAAAACCGTTGTAATATTTTCATCACCTTTGAATTCATTGTTATCTTTTTCCAAATTCGATTCGAAAGGATCGTCAAGAAATGGAGGTAATTTAGGGACTATCTCAGCCTTAGGACTTAGGCATAAAACCAAATATTCCACGTCTTCCCACTGGCGTACAGATCCGACAAGAAAGCAAGGTCGTGATAAAATCTGGAAAGCCTAAAAAAGAAAGACAGTGAGTGACTTCATAAGTAAGTCTTACAGTGATTCGATCCAAGCATTCGGCAATATAATATAATATAAATTAGTTTATAATATGTAATAAGAGACACTGTGTGCACTGATCCGTTTAGTATACTTACTTGGAAAAAGTAAAAACTCGCAACTATTGTAATATATGAAATGAGACGCTGTCCTCTTTTTATTTGATGCAAGTATCTGTAAAGTTTGTGGTTTTGGTTCACTGGTTTAGGCATTCGACTTTCAATCACAGTTTCAAGATTGAATTACGCCTTAAATACTTCGATCTGAGCAACCGTGTATTATCACAGGCTTCTAGTAGCTACGACTATTGTCACAATACATGAAAGCTATAGCAAGTGTTTGAGTTGGTTAGTGGTACAGTAGTGACCAAGTTGTAGCTCAGCATTTTAGGGAGATGACTACCAATCAGTGGGCAGCAATTTCGAACCCTTTTCCACCTACTGATGTTTGGACAGCTCACACATACAACAGGTGTGGCTTTTTGTCTACTGCACGGATGCTCACAAAGTGGGTGAGTGCAATCCGTTCGTTTCGTTCGGATAACCGGGTAGCACAACGCAATCCAGATACATACGTTTACACTTAGCTATAAGCCACACTTTTTGTTTGAGGACTTTCGATACCATCTGGCTGCTCAAACTGAGAAGTACTGCTCGAAGGTCATATCTTCAAGCTAATCAGCTGCGTCTCTACCCCACTATCTCTCCCTCTGTAAGGTGACGAAATAACCACACACATCATTTAACAACAATTACTGTTGTTGAGAAACTTCGATTGCTATACTGCTAAGACGGTTGTTCACGCTCTATTAAATTTGTCAAGGGAAAAAATTGTTGCATACATTGACTCGGCTGCTGCTGGATTGAGTCATGGAATTGTCTAGTAGAAAGGGCATCCCTGTTAAGTTTACAAACACACTTCTGTGGAATGAGAACCATCCTTTTCCTTGATATTAACCAGCAGCGGGATGAGGTAAGGTTGTTTGATCTCACTACTTCTCTTCAACTTTGGTGTAAATTCGACCATGGCAAGTTTAGATATGTTGCTAGCAAAATTTCTAGTTTCCTATATCAATGTCTGAAACTTCCCGATAAAATGTAGGTTGATCTATCGAACTTCTCATCATAACGACAACCAAAGGTGCCCACTAGTTGTGTTCATTGTCATTATGCTTGCTTAACTTTGCTATAGGCGTGGTAGAGAGCATTAACTTATATATTTCTGACTACATAGGGGTCATCATTCATTAGCGGACGTAGTACCTGGTTCACTTCTGGCATGCAGATGACAGTCGCGATAGGTTAAGATGCTGACAAAACCCGACCCTCCTAATGTCATGAGCAGAAATATCAATATGTTTGGCAAGTGTTTTGCACCTGTCGAATGTAAGGTTGTGTTTCAGAAGTGGTTTGCACCAACTCCTAACTTAAGGATAGAAAGGAATTGTATCAGCTTGAATGAGTTAGTTTTTGATGAAATCTCGACCTGTTCGATGTTTACCACTACTGATATCTGAGAGATACGACCACACTGAGCTGCAGTCGACTCTGTCCCACATCGTCTATGAAGGTAAAGGATATGACGACGTTACATGTTTTGCTTACAAGAGTGATGGGATCACTGTGCGAGCAATGGTGAGAACAGCCGTAAGGTACTAGAAAGGGAAGGTAAATCAGTAGATGAAGTTGTAAACAATCATAGACTAAGGTGACTAGTTGCACATCTCGAGGCACAGCTAACATCGACGTGCAATGTTACCAAAGTAAGATTGAATAGGAAGAAAAATAAGGATGCTAGATTAGGATGAGACGCCAGCCCATAAATTACTTGACTGGTGATCCGAGTCAAGTATAGAAGTGTGGACTGCTGGACTGGGGTCCTCGAGATGACCAATGGTTGAGGAATCCTGGTGGCATGACCGTGAAACGATCACAACGTCGAAGTTGTACTGACTCTGATATCTGCATAACCTTGAATAATTTGACAAACATCTGCTTATTTCTTCTCTCTCCCCATACACTTTTCCCTACTTTGATATCACCTTTCCTATCTCTGTTTCTGCATGTTGCTGTGAACTGTGGCGACTTGAACCAATGCAATTCTTTGCCAGGTTCTACACTGATTTTCCGGCCTGTATGAGTTAACGATGTTCGACAATATTGTCCAATTGCCACCAGTTCCACAGGACTCCTCAGATCCGGCGGAAACAATACCTAAGGAATTCTGAGGTTCGGCTGTATTTCAGGGAATGGGAGAAATCAGTATTCAGTAAGCGGAGTGATTCTCGGACTTGTGTGAATGACTAAAGCGTCTTAAACATGTCATTTTACTTGCCATTCAACTATCCTCTAAGACCAGTTGGAAATGGAAATTTTTTAGACCGGCAGGCACTAGGGGTCGAGAGATCCTTGTGGATTATCATTTGTTAGTACATCACAATTTCTTTAAGGAGTGACCCAAGAGATCAAGTGTCTTTTTGGTCCGGAATACCCCACGAGTTAGGATCAATGCTAAAAACGGTCACATTGCAGTTTTTCATTTTGGACTTTTGAAAGTTTTCTTATCCATCCTTTTCAAAACATTACTATCTTCTTCATTCTTTCAAGTCCTCAAAATCTTGTCATACTGTTTTGCATGTTGTTTCTCTTGGTGCATAAGTTGTACCACATTTTTTTCAAATAATCTGTGCTTTAGTGTGAAGTCTTGCGTTTTCCCTGTTCTAATTTGAGGCATGAACGTAGCTTCTGAAGCAGTGAGTGAAGGTGTTCTCAAATAGGATTGTGATGAGTTGTCACTGTCTAGACAGACAAGCAAGCTTTGATTATTGCTCTTCTGTTCTGTGACTGACTAATACTACAATGTTACTGGTTGTCATTTAGGTGCAATTGAGTCTATGCTCCTGTAACTATGTCATTGTACATTCAGGTATTTATTACTGGACGACTGAGTGTGGGTGAACTGTTTGGTGGGATTGCGTGAAATACACCCATTACAACTGCAATCCTTGTTTTCTCTGCGTCATTCCAAAGTATGAATGCTGGTAATTACTCAATGTGGATTATTTTATTTATGTTTCTATTTCAAAAACAGAATAGGGATCATGAACACTGAAAAACAATATTCAAATGATCATACCTGCCGAGCTGCACATATTTTGGCTAAAGATGTTGTCATTGAAAGTGACTCAGCTACTAATACATCCCCAATTAAAAGATCACAGGCAAATAGTTGACTGACATCATATGATTCACCAGTATTAGAAGTCTGCAGGGGCAAATAAATAAACAAAACATAAACGAATAGCATTAGTATGTGCACGAACGAGTTGCGAGTAATAGTTAATCAAGTCAGTTCTTGACAGCAACGGAAACAAGAAATGTGATAGTCAACAGGCAGTGATTCATTCGGATGTTCTAATAATATCTCAAGGCACATATCTGAAAACTAGATGTAAAAATCTTTGAACGCAGGCTTGACACTTCCAAGTATTCATCAGCAGGGAATCTGTGAGCTCGAAAAATTAATGTCTGATGTAGATCCGCCTTGGTAATGCATCGGGGATGCCTATATCCCTTATATTCCATGTTTACAGTTTGTATATATTTGAACTGGTTTATTCGCATTCTTTTCCCGCGCATGGGTCATATTTCACATGACCCGTTTTCACTGATAAACGTTTTCAATCTGAGATACTATAACTCATCTGGTTTCCATTCTTTTGATTTCTCTTTGCATTGTCTCAACCCTCGACCATCAATCGTTAAACATTTCTGTTCGTTCTCACAACTACACATTATCACGTAATGACCATCAAAAGCCTATAAATCCATGTTTGTAAACTTGTACTGATCACCTGTAAAAACTTATGCGAAATCTCAGTAGCGTGAAACAATAGACATCTTAATATATGAACTATTTGAAGTATTTATGGTTGGATAAATTTCAATTTACCTGTTTGACATAAAAAGAACGTTCCCTTGGAGAAAGATCTGAAATCCTTGTAAATATGTATTTAGGGCAGAGACCAATACTGGAGTCAACCACTTGAGAGAGTTCTTTGACAAAGTCGATAGACAAACCACTGTAACTTTCCTTCTCTCGCAGAAACAATTCCCGTCCACGCTCCCGACAGGACAGCTTTGTGGTAAAAATAAACTTAAAATTAGGGTCGATAAATTAACTTCTTATGAGAAGAAAGTATATTCAACATACAAAAGAAACTAATTACAAATATATAGTCTACGTTACCATACTTCAAATTCAGTGAAATTTTAGGGATATGAAAAGAATACGGAGGTTGCATTATTAAACATATTTCACACATTTGATGAATGACAGCAACTCAGAAGTGGTCGAATGCTGACTACCTGACACTAACGAAATCTAATAATTCCTACTGTAACATCAAGAACAAGATATTCAGTGAAGAGAAACTTTTCAACGAATTTATTTTCAAGCTGTTCTTCACGGGATATAATTTTTTATACAAATAAGAATGTACAGCTTGAAAATAAATCCGTTAAAAAGAGTCTCTTCTCTGAATATCTTGTTGTTCTTGACTAACGAAATCAACGTAGAACTTCTCACATAGGTGCATCGGCTCAAGTTGCCCCACTCCACAGTAGTATACAAAGACAGGTGGACAGAATAAGCGTTTAATCAAAGTGGGCAAAGTTGTGTGAGAAAATGAACAATCTGAAGATAATGGTTAGTGAGAGTATCCAGGTTTCAGAAGATGCTAAGGAGTGAATACGTCTGCTCCATCGTAACTAACTTTTAGCCATGTTACTGAGAGTCCTCAACCACTGATTCCTATCATCCCGGCGACCCCGGTCAAGTGGTCTACATGTCCCACGTGGTTCAGACCAACAATAAGAGACTTCATCGACTGGTGTCACGTCTTGGTTCGGCCGCCCCGAATCCTCTTACAACTAAATCCAGCTTCCCCTAACATAGAACATTGAGGTATGCCGTGGCTAGGGGTCGGATGCCAACAAGCAGCAGCTATTCTCAAATCGGTTTGTTAAAGGCAATCGGTAAGAAGCCCTCCAACCAATATCCATCGAAGTGCATCGCGATAGTGAGTCTCCTATCTTGATGGATGCATTGCAAAATGACCGATGGAATTCGATCAGCACTCCGGACCAATCAATACATTTTCCAAACTGTTTGATTGCACTAGAAACTTAGTCATATGATATGAATGCTTCATTTTAATTCGATACACGAGCTCGTTCTATAAATTCTGAAAACGAACGTCTTCAAATATGCATATTAAACGTGAAACATGTCTATACTCGTTTATTTTCAAGTTATGTACAATATTTCTCAAAATGAAAAAACACTAATTTCAACAGAAATTAGCAAGCTGAACAAAGCCCAATGATTAATTACAATTTTAACAACTGGGCTACTAAGCATACGAAAATCCCAATCCGTAGAGTTAGATATATTCATTGAATGAGCTAATTGTTTGGATTATAGTACTAGGCTCTACCCAAAAAATGCATATAACTCGTCTGTTACTGAAGTCATTAAAACCACTCTCAAATAGCATTGTACGTTGTTACTGGAACTATGCCATAAAATTTACTTACATTCTGAGGTATTTATGTAGTTGGATAGAACAGCAAGTGCCTACTGCATTATGAAATGCAGTAAAATAAAGTGTACTCACATTTCCTTATGCTGCCACTGAAACTTCCCAACTGACAAAATTAGCATAGAACATCGCACACAGGTGCATCGATTCAAGTTGCCCCATTTCACATTAGTACAAAAAGAACAGGATAGAAAAGGAGTGATATCAAAGTAAGGTAGTGTAAGGGAATAAACAATCTGCAGATAAAGGTTAGTGCAAGTATTCAAGCCCTAGAAGATGTCAAGGAGTAAATACATTTGTGGCATTGTGGTCGATTTTCAGTCATGTCACTAAGAACCCTCAACTACTGATTTCTTTCGTCTCAGGGACTCCAACCAGGCAGACATATCTGGCGTACAATGCAACCGAAAAGATGACAATGTATGAGGTAGAAAACGGAATGTGTAAATCAACAGAAATTCAGAGCTTGTACTCACCTGCAGCGCACAAACCATGGCTTGTCTTCTTAAAAGAATGAAGGTAGGAGGTGGGGGAGGCATCTGGAGTGACTCAGTAGCGGCAGGAGATTTGTTTGCTAACATATCGGGAGAAGTATAGGACACCTGAGTTGTCTGACTTTTCCAAATCTCAGATGACTGCTTTTGCAAATTAAAGGCTTCTAAGTCAAGGGAGGATGGCAATCGACCATATGTGCCATATTTTAACCGCGGTCCCCACTGGCCCAAACTATGTTGACTATCAGCAACTGGAAGTGCTAGGGTAGCAAGCATGGCCGATGTTTGTAATTCACTGGGTAAATCTGCGAAAGTGACGCTCTGAATATGCTGGGGGTTTGGAGCTGTAGTTACAGATGGGCTCACAGGATTAGCTATGTTGGAATTTGTAGTGGAGCTCGTTAAGCCTGACTGAACTGAAATTAGAGGGGCATTTATTTGGTTCTGAACGTTTGGTGGGAGGGGAACAATCATATTAGATATGGATGCACAAATGTTTGAAGGGATGAATCCAGGTACGATCATAGAATTCGGACAGAACGGAGGTCCAACATTGAGGTCGAAGGCTGTGGTAGCGGAGTGTAAGGCAGGAACAATGTTGCCAAAAGCTGGCGAAATGTAAAACGAAGGGACGAGGGAATAATAGGGAGAAAACCGACTATCCAGTGTGCATAACGAACCCTCTGGAACCAGATAACTAACAGGTGAGTGTGATACAACACAAGAATTTTGCATCTGACAAGTAGGAGAAACGGTGTTCACCAGTGCGTGGGATGTAATAACAGCTTCTGATTTCTGTGAAGGGAGATTAATTTCAGACTTAGGTTCAAATGAATGCGAAGCAGTTCGCACATCCATACCAAAATTTTGAAAAAACCAGTCTTCATATTTTTTAACCCATTCGTTTATCGCCCGTTTGATCTTACTCGAGGAAATGCGACTACTCTTAGGATTAACACCATGATCAGTGCGACCACAATAGCTTTGAGTAGAATAGTTATGGGAACCATCATCAGTAAGCGTAAGTTCCTCCTGTGCTTTTTCCGAATAAATACTCTGCTGAGAAAGAAAATTAAATGCTTCTTCACTATACATTTCTCGATTAGGAACTCGAGTGATGCTTTGGTGAACACTGACGGTCTGTTCATTTTCGTCATATCCCAGGTGATTTTTGAGTGCCTGATCCGGAGAGTATGAACATGATTCGTAGTCGTCCGTTTGAGTTGAGGCATTTATTTTCACAGGTTTTTTCTGTTCTGCTGAACTGTCCGTCTGTCGAAAAGAACCACTGTGGGCATGGTCAAGAACAGCCTTGAGGAAGGCTTGAACATGAGCATCAACTTGTTTGCGCTTGTCCGGGCCTTGGTCAAGTTGTCCAGTGGAATCACATTTAAACTTTTTAGTAGCATGGATGTGATCTATAACGTGAGACAAAATGAAGTGACAGTTAGTGGAGACAGTCAGATGTGCACAAAAAGCAATTTGCAATGACAGCTGTCTTTTTCTGTTAGAAATGCTCACTATAAAGCAATATAAAAAACCTTACTTATGAGAAACAGAAATAACGATGTTACCAGAAGAGATACAGAAGTCACAAGACACTTAAAAACTTTTCATCACTTCGCACCATAGATCAAAAAGGCAAAAGTATGGCAGGTTTACCATCAAGTTCAACGTCAGTTATCGTCAAAAAAGGCATTCATACAGTCAAGTGTTCGGTTATTCTGGCAGGGAAAGCCTGTTCATGGCCTCCAGGAGACGAGGGTGATTCCACACAAGAGCGAAAGTGAATGTTCAACACGTACAAACGGATTAGGGGGGAGAGGATTCACTTGGGGAGTTTTAAAAAAATCTTCCCACAAGTTCCTAATTCTAAATCAAAATCAGTGACCATGCTGTAGTTTGCTTTTCAAACCAACCATCGACTAGCAAATTAAGCGAATGCTTTCAAATGCATATTTAAGCCTTACTTTAGCAAATTATTTTTGTTTAGCCTCTGTACTCTTTTCGTTTCCTATCTAGAGTGTTCACATTCACGAATAATTACCAACCTAAAAGATTATTTATCCTTTCATTTAGAACACAAACATTATTTAACATGAGCACCAAAAGATGTGCCATACAAAATAAGACGAAGCTACGAAGATAACCCAAAGTAAAGCAAACGGAAACAGGAAGTAGTTTCAAACATAAATACAGAAGAAATCGATACTTCAGCTTCACTCCCATATAACAGAAGAAACGAGAAAACTGTAAATTAATTACCACCAATTTCCATTTTAAATATTTCCGATTGCCAAAAACCAGAACTGAGTTGGTCTTTCGAATCATACAAACGCAGGCCTGGAACATAAACACAAGCTAAACTAAGAAAAACTGTCCTAGGTCCCACAGGACCACATACACTGACGTCATCGCCTTTTTCAACTAGTTCCAGGGTAGGCAAAGAGTGAGAAGGGTGTGGGCCGCAGGGACGTAAGTAACGTGTCCAAGCAACTGAATCTGGTGTTTCAAGACTTCACTCAATGAATAGCGATCTCCATCACATACAACCATCTGCCATCTCACCTCAGAATTACTTATATGACATCTAAACCAAAAGCGAGCAATCCTACTAACAATGGTGATCGAGAAGGCAGAGTCATCGAATATTCTTAGCTTGGAGGCCAAATCTCAAGGTGTTGGGACACTGGAGTCTTAATGTGTAAAATAAGAAAACCTGATGTGGAAACGACAGCGAGGAATGCCGGGGAAAGGATGTTTTCAGCAACGCTACTAAACGTATTTCAACGCCTTCCGAGATCAGGTAGGTGTGCTATTCACCAGATGACTAATCTACCTTAGTAATTCTGGTCATACGACAGAGAAGGATCGCCAGACAGAGTTTTCACGATCAAAAACCAATAACTATTTCATAACCCACCTATACTTATTCTTAAGTTAATCAATCTCACTACCTTATGGACACTGAGGTCCTACAAAGCCATCTGAATGCTTCTGTTGTAAGGCATCTATCTACAAACATGTATCATCTGAACCCGAAAGCAAGTTGATAAGCTACCTAAAATTGACAAAAGGCCGTGTGACCGTACTCAAGAGGATGTCTTATTGGTTTGATGGTCACACTCTCTTCTTTTTCAGGTACCTCGAGAACTAGCCTCCCATGGTATGGGCAGCTGCGAAGTACCAGTACACAAGATCCCACCAAATATGACCAGTTACCTTCGAATCTTTCTCCTTTACTTCCACCCCTTATACATTTTCTCACAGCCCATTCTGCAACCACTGGGAACGACCAAAGACACTGAAACCTCATTCCTGGTCTCCTAAGACCCTGCCCGCCATCGATTCCATGGTGAAGCCTTCAAAGTCCGAACTCTATAGTAAACCGAACAGAAAGCTTCACTCGTTATAACTATGAAGTCTCGAGCCAGGAATGTAAGCTGTCTCTGAGACACGCATACAGGACCTGAGTAGTGTGGTTATTAAATTGACCTCACCTAAATCTTCAAATTCACCATCATCATCATCATCATCATCATCATCATCATTATCAACATAGGACCAGGCATTACTGCGTAACGGTCCGAGTTGCCACACCTCATATCAGCACATCAAGTAAAAAGGTAGTGAGGTGAAGGATGAAGATAAGTGAATGCAGTCAAAAGAAATATAAAGTACGAGAAGAAAGGAAAGAGGAGTGACAAAATAGTGAGATTCGGTATAGCGTTGTTAAGATGAGGATAATGTGTGTATACATCTGCGCCACTGACTTCGGTTCTGAGCCATATCACCTAGGGTCTCCAACCACTGGTTCCTCTTGTCCCGTGGACCCCAACCACCTAGTCTGCATCGTCCTACATGGCTTAAACCAACAGTCAGAGACTTCATACATTGGTGCCATGTTTTAGTCTGGCCACCTCGGGCCTTTTTCCAGCCTGAACCCACCTCAGCCAACATTGTGTGACGAGGCAATCGGTGACTAGGCATACGTAGTACGTGTCCCAACCATCTCAGTCGATGAAGGTTCACAACCTCGTCGACTGACTTACCTCTTCTCCCTAAAACTCTACACCTAACTTCTGCATTACTCACATGGTGACACCACGGAATACGTCCTATACTACGAAGGCAACGGTGGTCAAATACCTGTAACCTTCTCATGTCTTCCACTTTCAATGGCCATGTTTCACAGCCATACAGTAGAACAGAGCGGACTGCTGTGCAGTACACGCGACCCTTAATAGACAAACGAATATCACGGCGGCGCCATAGGTGGCGCAAATTGGCAAAAGCCAATCGAGCCTTTTGTATCCGTGCAGAAATCTCATCGGCAACTAACCCACCGGGTTGATCCTACTTCCCAGGTAAGTGAAGTGGTCAACACACTCAACCACTTCACTCTCTATTGTTAACCGCGGTACCGCTGAAGACCAGTCCTGGAGCAAAAATTTGCATTTGGGTGGTGAAAATCGCATCCCAAACATTCTCAAATTCCCACTCAAAGTGTTCAGAAGACTCTGCATCTTGTCAGCGTCTTCACCTAACAGGACTATGTCATCTGCATATTCTAGATCTAAGGAAAATTCACCTGTGATCCGGTCAACGTCTTTGTAATTAGGTGACGAGAGGGAAACCTCCATAAGAATATCTATGATAAAATTAAATAAGAATGGGGATAGTGGGCATCCTTGACGGACACCACTTGATGAGTATAGCTCCCTGGACAACTCACCATAGGCTCTAACATGCCCACAAGTGTTCGAGTAGAGAGCTTTCAATAAGGTGATGTACTTACTAGGCACGCCTTTCAGTGACAGACACTGCCATAAGACTTCTCGATCAACGGAGTCAAATGCCGCCTTCAGGTCGAGAAATACAGCTATTGTCGGGCGTCTGTAAGCATGCCTATGTTCCAGGACCTGGCGCAGTGTGAATATTTGGTCGATACATCCACGGCCAGGTCTAAAGCCTGCCTGGTTTTCTCGGGCTTGCTGTTCCCGAGCTCCACTCAGGCGTCGGAGAATTATAGAACTTAGGATCTTAGACACTATGTTTGTCAGGCTGATTCCTCTGTGGTTATCACAAGAGGACTTCTCGCCTTTCTTGAAGACTGGGATGATCAGTGACTTAGACCAGTCGGAGGGGATCGTATTTGATTCCCATATACTGGCTAACACTTCCGTTAGCCTGACTAAGAGAACTCTACCACCATTCTTGTATACCTCAGCAGGTAGTCCGTCTGGTCCTGCTGCCCTTCCCCGTTTCAGGCTACCTACCGCTTTCTCAACTTCTTCTAGTGTTGGGGGACCTGTCTCTATGTCCCATTCAGGGTCCGACTGGATAGCGGGCAGCGCAATGGTGGCTGGAGGCCAGTTAAACTGTTCCTCAAAGTGTTCTGCCCATCGTCCCAGTCGCCTTCCCTGCGAGTGAATCGCCGATCCGTCCTTCTCCGCTATAACCTCACTAACTGTTGTTGACCATTTCCCCCCAGTCTCCTTAATAAGTCTAAATAACTGTCTACTGTTACCGATCGCCGCTGCCTTTTCCATCTCTTTAGCCTTTGCTGCCCACCACTGTTCACGATCGTTGCGCAGACTTTTCGTCAGTTTATTTTTAAGTTGCGCTCGCTCTTCATTGTACTCAGAGCCTGCAGGGATGCATTCACGTGCATCCATTAGTTTGGAAGAAGCTGCTGATATCCACTGGCTCTTTTTAGCCATTATCTTGGAGTCGGCTACAGTCTCCAGTGCTGCTTTTACAGTAGACTGAAGATGGCACCAAGCTTCTTCTGGATGAGTGACAGTCTTTTGTTCCGATAACTGCCTAGCCAACTTCTCACTGAACACGGCTTTGGTGTTTTCGTTGTCCAGCAGAACTCGTAGTGGTTTTGTTGCCAAATTTTTTCTACGTCCATTGAGACGCAGGCATATACGTGCTCGGACCAACGCATGATCGCTGTCCAAACACGTACTCCAGAAGGAGCGGCAGTCTTCCACCGATCCTCTCCAGCGATGACTAATAGCAATGTGGTCTATCTGTGTCCATCGCTGAGTCGAGCTCGGTGGACGCCAGGTCAGACAGTGCCTTTCTTTATGTCTGAAATTTGTGCTGGCTAAAAATAGGCGGTTATCTGAGCATAGTTGTAATAGGCGATCACCGTTATCTGTACGTTCAGCTGGGATTCCGAAAGTGCCACCTAAGTGCCTTTCTGCCTCACTCAGTCTACCCACCTGTGCGTTGAGGTCACCTGCAACAACCACTACGTCCGAACGTTTGGCTTTCGAGAGGAGGTTAGACAGTTTATGGTAGAACTCGTCCTTCACTTCATCCGAACTACAGTCAGTGGGTGCGTAAGCAGAGATTACAAAGAGACAACGGCGAGTCTCACTATTCCTTTTAGTTCTCACTGTGCCGTTCAGCCTCATAGCGCAGAGGCGACTATCAACTGGGATCCAGTCTAGTAGTGAGTTTTCTGCCCTGGTGCTTAATGCTATACCTACACCTGCAAGACCACGAGAGCTAGCTATCGAATCTCCAGAAACTCGAAGGGTGAATTTTGCAGATTCACCAGATTGGTCAGGAGAGGTCAGGTGAATAACCACACTTGGGTCCTGTATGCGTGTCTCACAAACACAGCACACATCCATGCCCCGAGTTGCTAGAGTCTTTGCCAACGAAGCCTGTTGGCCAATTTGACGGAGGGTGCGGACATTGAAGGCTCCAATATGTAATTTGGAGCGTGGTTTAAGGAGACCAGGGACGCTGTTCTGTGGACTCAGATCGTTGTCGAAGGCTGCAGAGGTAGGAGAAATTGAAGATGATGCAGCATCATTAATTAAGAGACGTGAAGGAAGATTAGAAGGTAATGATGGAGGAGGAGGATAGCAGTCAGAAGAAACTTGGGTGCTGACAGAGTTGTGAGGGCGGTTGACACTTCCCGGCTGCCCACACCGTGGAAGGCTATTTCTTCTTAAGGTACCTGAAAGAGATTTGTGTGACCGCAGAGCCCATCGGACATCTGCTTGAGGCCTGTCACACCCAGCCTTTTGAGTATGATTATTTTGAATTTTTGTATTTTTGGGGCCGGATGAGCGAAAGGAAACGACAAGTGAACCAACACCGCCGGCCCGGCAGACCGTGGGGCGTGGTGGAGTGTGTTATTTTTGGGGCCGACCTTTTCTAACCCCCCCTTCCACTGAGAAGGCAGCATCAGCTTGGCACTGCTGGTCATCCAAGGGAAACACCTTACTGCTGTCACACCCCATCCAGCTAGCAGCAGTACGACTTCGCCCTCAGACCCCCATCATAGTGTAGCAATTTACACTATGACGGTAACTGCTTTTCGTCTAACCACTACCCAACAGACCTTTCTGGTATGGTAGGACCTCGAGGGAACAAGCGTTCCACCAGCATAGCTCGTTGGGTCATTGTGATATGCAAGCCCGACCACCACGTCAAGGTAGCAGCTATCGGTCGGGCTCAAATTCACCTTACGAGCATCTATAGACCTAATGGCTAGCTCTCAAGAACTCTAGTTAGGCATAGCATTAAACCGTGGGGCAGAAAGTGGGCTTCTCAACTGTAAAAAAGTCAACAACCGTCTATGTGCTATTCAACTGAATGGATCTGTAGGAACTACGAGTGATCATGAGACTAACCGACATCTACTCGTAATCTTAGCCTACGCATCTGCCGACTGAAGTCCGGATGATGCAAAGGATGAATTCTAAGAAACTGTCAATCTCGCGGCAGAAAGCAACGCACTTATATGCAGTCATGAAGGCAAATGACTTTAGCGCTCAAGTGAGGAAGGTGAGCTGAACCAATAGTAAAGGCGCCTCGGAGGTATTTACGGAATCCTATACCAACTAACTGACAACGATGGTCATCTGTTGCAATCTCGTTCCGACAATCACTTGTTTCTGCCCAACACAAACTTCAAGCGTAAGAAGAGACAGTTTCACATGGCGTCCGCCAACATCAAACAAACGATTGGCAAAGACAAATCATATTGCCGTAAGCCATCGTTGGAGAGGACTGCTACCCTTTCTGGAGTACTAGATTGTTCGGCATGCGTTTCGTAGCTACCACGTGTACGGTGATGCTCCAGAACTAGTCTGTTGCAAGTAGTCCCCGGTACCTGATAGAGAGCGAAGTGGTGGAACGCGTCGAGCAACGCACCAGGGGAGTTGCATCAGTCAGAACGGGTTGGTTGCCAGCGAAATCTCAGCTCGGATACAGAAGGCCCGTTCGGCATTCGCCAACTTGCATCATATGTGGAGTCAGTTAGCTAGATATCCGACCACCTCAAAAAATGGGTATACTGCGCTAGTTTTTTGTCCTTATATATGGGCATGAAACATGGACAGTAAAAGTAGACATGAAGCGATTACAGGGGTTTGACCACAGGTGTCTTCGTAGCATTGCTCGTGCTTAGAGGAATCACTGTGCGAGCAGTGTTTAAGTCCCGGGGGAAGAGTGCTGAGCAAATCGACTGATGAGGTTGTCGCCTTAGTCGACTGACGGCTTGGACATATACTGCGCATGACCGGCCAACGCCTACCGCCATGTGCCATGCTGGAGGAAGATGGACTAGGTCCGAATACAGTTCACAGTAGTCAAAGACCTAGCACCAATCAATGAAGTCTCTCACTGGTGGTCTGAGCCATGTGGGGCGATGTAAAATACCTGATTAGTATCCAAGACGAAAAGACTCAGTGACTAAACAATGACAGCAACATGGCTGAAAACCGGCAACTGTGGTGCAAATGAATTATCCTTCCACATTTCCTAAAGCTTCAATATTTCCGCTAACCGGTATCTTAAAGTCACTTATTCACTCACACTACATTATCATCTTGATACAAATCAGATTATATCAACGTATTCCTAGGGTACTAGAGTCAGGTGCGGCATTTCAAGCGTATACAATGACGTACGAGGCTCTCACCTGGTTTCCTACCAGTAGCAATTATCCCCCAGCTTCTCGCTCCAAGCTGCAAAACTTTACTAATATAGCCAGATGCAGGTCATGTGTCTGACCAGCGCGTTCCAAACGAAAGGCGTCGCTGCCCTCATGCAACATCCTGCTGCTAGGCATCCAGCAGAGGGTTATCTTCCGAACACGCTGTACCTGGATTGCAAGGGATTCAGTCGTTTTGGAAAGAATGACGATTGCCATTCGTCAAAATACTCGTACGACAGCACTAGCAGCAACATTTGACGCACCACCCGTAATAGGGGGCGCGTTTACGTTAAGACGTTTTCGACTTTACGAACCCAGTGGTAGCCTTTGACGTCATATTTGTTTAGTTTTCCAGAGTGACCGTAGTAGGTCTAGTAGGCCTTCCTGATTGATAAATCCTCATAAGGCATATATGCTACCGGTTAGGACAAATTCTGGGTGCTGAAACTGAAATAACTCACAGCTGTTCCGACAATACCGTTCGACTCCACTGGCGTTTAGTATTAAGCACGTACTAGATAAACTTTCGAAAATATCCGTGCATCTGGCGTATTGTGAGCATTGTCAGGAATGTGCGGTATGGGGCATTTATCAGCCACTGTCCACATACTCACGGCTCAGTAGTAAACACATGATCTCATATTCCTTGAATACTTTCTCAGCATCATATCAAGTGCCGACGACAATAGGCTGCTTATTTGAGGAAAGAGAATGATGAAATCCGAAGGAATCTAGTTCAACAAACATGTGTGGCCTCACCTAATGGTTTGCGAGTTAAATCTCGTTTGGAAACCGACACTTTCTGGTCGCTTAAACGTGTTAGAGGGTCCAAAAACATTGCCTTTCGTTTGAAATCCAATCTTCTGAAGTGATGAACCGTAGCCCCTACAGGACAGTACAGTTACATGACCCAACTAGAAAATCCAAATAGATTATGAGAAACGAGTACATCCTAAAAACACTGGTTAATATTAGGCCATGTGCACTATTTGCATTAGATCAGATAAGTTTGACCTAACATCCAATTGACACTTTATCAGAAACAACCTTACATCTCAACCCATGCAATAAAGTGCTTACTCTGCCATCATCTAAAATAGTGTGATGAAAGCAGTGCACACCCGACAGGTTCTATTCTGATTCTTTGTGGATACATACCCATTACTCCCACCATCACCAAATTCGAAACCCGCGATGATGAGGTTATCAAGCGCGAATAAACAACCTGGTAAGTGCTATTAGAAATGGAAAACAGAATATTTCCCAGTTTCTACGTACATGATATTGAAAAACACCGCTGGGGAGGATACCGTGATAGTTTCCCCTTGATACCAAGAGAATTAGGAAAAACAGCCTACTTACAGCATCCATACTGCACAACATCGAACTATACCTGTAATCTGATGATAGAGAGAAGTTTCTTGGTCACCTCCCTTCTGTAATTATGTGCACACATCTGAATTCTCTTTTACCAGTAGGTTTAGATCAAACGACTTCTTCGTGCTCACATTCTATTGCTTTAATAGGTTCCAAGCATTTGCCGAATTCTCATACAGTAGGTCAAGTAACGAGTCTGCTACAGATATAATGAACTCCACTAGTAGCTCGGGCTTGTTCAAAATGGAAGTGAATTGCGTGTTTCGTCTCTGAGCTTGGATGCTACGAGTATCTTTCACTGCTGTCAACCCAAACAGTTGTTCAGACCAAATTTCGCTCGTCATCGAGAAAGGTTGTGCGACCTGAATACTTAACTATATGAAATCTGGCGGAAGACCAGATGGATACGCTACAGAAGATTCAGATTTTTCGTTTTGGGATAGGAGGCTGAGAGCCCATAATAATCCTGTCCTTGTAAATTTCTGTGTTTGTCTAACCCCATTTTGAGCGAGTCAACTGATGGTGCGGACACCACTTCTTCTGGAGGTCGGTTCCAGTTGATTACTCGACGCCAAAGCCATTGCTCTGCAGAGACCATGTTCCTTCTTTGCTTTTGTAGCCTCCTAATATGTCCTCTGAGGTGTTTCAACCTAGTGGGAGGGAAAAGAGAAGGTAGATCAGGTCTGAAGCCATTTCTTAGGATCCTGTATGGCATGATTAGGTCTCCTTTCTGTCTACGATTGATTACAGTGAACAAGTTAGGCTCCTTAAGTCAATCTTCATAGGTGAGACCAGCCATCGCGTCACCTGCGTCACCTTTCAAGCAGGGATTTGCTGCCTGTGTAAAGTTTTCTAATTTAGATCTAAATAAGGATATGTACAAGATGGTGAAGATGTCACCACTTATTTTTGTAACCCTTCTATGTAATGCCCGGAGTGTCCTAAAACTCCGAGCTGCTACCAACCGACATTGTGACGCGGTTTTCAATTCATAACTCATTGTAACTCCTGGGTAATTGATGGTCAGTAGTGACGGCAGAGGAGTCTCACCAATACCGAAGGTGTTACTGTGTGTGCCCCAAATCCACGCTCGTACACTTACATGCGTTGATAGGCATCACCCACTTCTCTGGTCAGGTAAACAAGCTGTTTAGGTCTGCCTGAAGCGCACGCGTTTCCCCATCGTTCTTAATTTCCCGCCAGATTTTACATCATCATTGTGGAAAACCACATGTTTCCTTATATTTAGCAGCTCATTTACGTTCAGGAGAAACAGCAGGGGTTCAGGACTGCGGCTTGGGGCACTCCACTCTCTACTGACTTCCAAGAGGAGAGTTTAAAAGTGATCTTTACTCTCTGTCTCCTGCCATGAATATGACGTCTACAGGTATCCTATCATCTTTAGACTTAACCCAACTTTCTCTGACTGTAAGGAGGTTAGTCAAGCGAAAGAAACTTCTACGAAAGCAATGCTGTGAGCGAAACAATAGAGCGCTGCTCTCTGGGTGGGTAGTGATGGCTTTTTTGATACTCTTTCTAAGATTTTCACCACAGTACTAGTCAAACTTATCGGTCCGTAATCTAAGTGGTGCTATCAAGAACCTGCCCTGTGAATAGGCTCTTCTATGGCCTCCTTCTAGTCATATGGGTGTATGCCTTCACTGAGAGACAATCTAAATATGGTGGTCGATAGGCCGGCTACATAGAGTGCAGGCTTTCCGAGTAGCCCTGGGTGCAGCTCATCCGGTCGCGTTGATTTTTCCACATCGAGATTACTTAATATCCCAAATACGTCATTGGGACCGACACCCACAGTTGATTCTGTCGGATGTCAATGCTTCCACTGTTGAATAAGTGTCCACAGAAGATTCCTGTGTACAGACCACAACAAAATAGCCAGCTACCACCTCAGCCTTTTCCCTATAATCCCTAACCAAACAGTCAGTTTCAGTCCTTTTGGTTAGGGCGGGTATACCACGACACATCTTATTTCTATAGTTCACACAGGAAAATAACCTCTTCGGATGTTGCAATACAGCCTGGGCAAGACGTGTCTCAACGCATATTCGAGAACGGCGGATACCGGCGACACATCCATTTGGGAATTATTTGTGATGCCTCACAACTTCCAGTGCGCTGAGGCGGATGGCAAGGCTCCGACGCTTTTTCTTACGTCGTAGCAAGATTCGAATTTCGTGGTTTATCCGTGGAGGGTAGTGTCTCTGCCCCTTGGGATGGTCCACGGAATGAACGGTTGAGTCATTCGTGCATACAACTGTTTGAAGGAGCACCACGCACCTTCGTCTGAGGCCTCTGGGTCGACTGTCTAGTCCTCCAAAGAGGCTGCCAGGTTGATAGCTTCCATGTTCGCTTTCTATTTGTTGGGTCTGGCTGAGGCTTCGACCTATGAACCTGAAGATGATCATAGCATGGTCGTTTTTACCAATGGGTGTAGTTTAGGCTTGCTTACCTGAAATTTCTCCGAGTCGGGTGTATAGGGTTTACTAAAGCCTAGTGCAGTTGTATTGACGCTGGCAGCCTCAGAATTGACCTGCATCCTATTCTGTTTAGCTTTCACCAATGACTGGGTCCCCGAAATGGGTATGACCTGCGGCCTACATGGTTACGCAGTTGGTCCTGAGGAAGCTTCACTCCTGTTTGTTTCACCTGAAGTTGACCTAGTCTTAATGTCAGCAGCTTTCAGGCCAGGTGTGCTAGCTGTGTGGATGCAAGAACCCAAAGATACTCACTTCACCCTGCTTGGTGTAGTTTTTTCTAGTTTTCTGTCGGCAAACATAGTGGGTAGTCTATGAGTCCGGCTTACAGCTTGTCGTAAGATGTAATTAAAATTTTGCGCAGCAATCTGTAGGCCTATGGATGCTGTGTGGTCATCACTATCACAGTTATCGACTTGGACTTTTGAAGCTAGTTTCTCGGTTATCGTATCTAGGAGTGCTTTTCCTTCTACGACAGTGAGAATATCCGAGCAGTAAAACACGCAAAGTCAGTGGTAGCCGGCCCTACCACAAGCATTTTTACGATACTTTTGGCCCACCACATGACAGAAACCACAGAACTTCACCCAGCAAAAGTTCCTGTCTCACTTTAATCGCATGGTATTCCGATTACAGCAAAAACCTAGCAGCCCTTGGTGCGTAAACACTAAAGAGTGCCAAGAATCCAGCTGAACGGAAAGAGTTACTCCCATTTTCAAACAGCGCATGAGTCTATAAAGGCTCGTATCATGCAGGTACCATGAAAGCAAAATGTGGGCCTGACGTCCTTGATCGACCATGGCAAGATTTTGAGGTGCCCAGTCAAGCGGAAGGTGACTGTTTGGTTAAACTAGGGTGCTTCGAATTCCTGAATGTCTGTGCCTTACCATGGGCAGTTTGATGTAAAACTTCGGTGATAATTATTTCGGTTGGATCGGAAAGAGCTACTTCTCATGTTATCCCCTCCCAATTCCTGCTGATCCTGGATTCCAGATGAAGGAGAAAACTGTGCACAAGTAGTTCCCACCAACATGCTAATATGTCGTTCCAGGATCTAGATTTGGTACCGCACGTTTTTAAAGTACTGGTCAACGCCTGGAGGTGTTGTCTAAGAATCCTATCTATCTGCCATCTTAGATGCGAGTACGCGGGATGCCGATCAAGGATGGGCATTCACTTTGAACCCCGCCGGTTTACTGTAGTGGGTGTGAGGGTGGCACGCAACCGCATGCGCGGTCGGGAATACCTCATGAAAGACTCACGAAGCAGAAGAGTGGATGGGGATGAATTAGAGGGGATGATGCATGTGGCTGCTGTGGGCTGGAACCGAGCCACGTTGTGAGGCACGTCAAGAAAACATTGTCCAACAACATTATTCACAGTCGGTTCAAAAATCTGCAAAGAAATTTTGCTGGTTACTATCTTCTTTGATGGACTTTATCAGACAGGTTGTGGTCATGAGGTTGAAGTGCCTAATATAATGAAGGATACTCAGCATTTTCGAAACCATTTCCAAGCAGCAACGAGCGAATTAACACACATCAAAGGTTCCCTGAGTTCAGTGGTTTTGATGTGACCAGTAAAACTAACACTGGGAAATGAGTGAACAAATACATCAGTAACTGTAAACACAATTAGCTGCTCCTTTTATTACTTGCTTACTGATGACCGTGCCGATAGCCCACTGGTGATGTTCGCATGAATGGTATGCGAATAACGTGAAGATATTTTTCGGATCCTTGATGGGCTAAATCAGATGGTGGTTCGTACCTGCAGAGTGGAAACTTTCTCATTGGATTGCCATAGGGAGTTGTAGGCAGCTGTAGAAATTGCTTTTCCACGTGCTGGCCGGGCTTTTCGCATCCGTAGAATAATGGAGAGAAAGTTAGGTTTATGGAGTCCATTGTAGCGTATGCGTTACATACAGATGCGAAACCCAGTTGTAGTGCAACATATCTGTAGGTTGGTACGAGAGAATCTTCTCACCAGATAGGGCCCTCGCAACTTAATGAGGTACAGTGCAAGTTTTATGCTTATAACCATATAATTAAAGCTGTAGGTCAATTAGCGGAGAGGCATTCACGTTTAACGTAAGAGAATGTGATCGGTAGTTTTCATCGGTTACGTTGTTACGTTGGGTCACAGCGCATATTATAAGGTTGAAAGCACGCACAAAAGATTGACGGGAAGACTGAAAAGCGGCTTATTGAACACCTTTTGTGGAGGACGTACATACCGTATCCAGGGAGAGGTGAAATAAGGCATTTTTGGAAGAACACTTCAGCCTTTATATGCAAAGAAA